GAAAACAGCTGTTTACAATTATCTTGGAAGTTTGTGAAAATCCACTTGAATCAGTGTCTTTCAAATATACAAATTTGAGTGATACATATGATTGTATATCCTTCAGTAGTTGGAGATAATAAATTGAAATGCGAATGCAGTCTACTACTGGAAAAGAAGCCAGAAAAAAATATGCCAGAAAAAAATTTGCTTTGAGTAAATTTGAGTAAATGAAAGATGTCCACAGGATTTCTAGGGTACATTGCCATGCRAGATGGATATTGCTTGTTGGAAATAAATCGAAAAACAAAAACCAAACAAACAAACAAACAAACACAAAAAGCACTTTTCACAGCAACATATATTGAACAAAAACAGTTGTCAGTTCTTGAAGTGTGAGTTTTAACCCAGTTGCAACTGACTATTAACTTAAAGGTAAAATCCATTCTGAAGAAACGATACCACTACTTATTGTGCAGTCAAAGAAAAAAAAATCCAGTCTTAATAATGACATTCAAGGCAAAATGAAAGTATCTAGTTTTTCAATAACATTTGAATTATAATATTATTTATTTGTTGCCACAGCATACTGTGATTTTTTTAAATTTGATTTATTACTCAACCACTCTTTAGCATAGCATTCTTTGATGATAACATCCATGTTGAGAATTGTTAGAAAAATTTTATCTGCTGTACATGATACTGCACACTTATAGCCACAAAAGAGAAAGACTAAGATGAGTTGCCAATGTTAACTMAAAGACATTCTTGTAATAATGGATGTGTTTGCATCCATAGAGTCAGTTGCAACTGGGTTTATTGTCATGTAATTACTGGGAAGGGGAGGTTGTTTAACTTGACACTAACCATACCAAGAAAGATGGTGATGTTCACTTCATTAATTTCTATTTTGCTTATTGCTGTATGCATATTTGTATCATCAAAAGTGCATAGGCTTGTGTTATTTGTGCATGATTATGGTGCTATTGTTGTATTATTTCAGTTTTTAAGTCAGATTTTTAAAAATTTTACGATGTTGTTAAAACAACATCCTTACATATTACACTACTGTATTTGAGAATTTTGTTCACTTGGTTTCTTCTTGGGATTTTGATTCCAAACAAAGTACCAGGTTATGCTTCCAAGCAGTAACACTAAGCCATTGATAGATACCTTTGAACATTGCTATTCCGTGATTGCGTTCATTTGGTCGCAGKGAAGACTTATAATCTGTTAGTGCRATATTGTGCAGATACCATAGTCGTCTATAATTCTATAACTGGAATTTTGGTGTTAACTTGACTCTATTACACTTTGAACTCGATTTTTGTTTCRCAGYTAGAGTCATTACACTTAAACCTGTGAAATAATAAGYGGACTACTACCCGTAGTCAATAGACAAGCTTATTTTGTTTTTGTTTTTTTTCCATTTCAAAGACAGCATAACACAGTAAGTTAGTATTTCATGGGTTGATTGTAATGACTCTTGTGTCTTCACTTRTCATTTCCGTCACCATCTTTCTTGGTATGGTTTGGGGTAGGGGTGGGGGAGTCTACATTTGAGGGGGGGAGGTTAATCCTTTGGGGGGGAGGGTTAAGCATTTGGGTGGGGAGGGGCTTACGGCTTTGGGTTCTGGGGGGAGCAGTCATTGCAGTGGTCTGTGCTTATATTTCAGTGGTAGCTTTAAGATTAGAGTCCTTGCAGCGCCTTTGCGTTGTCATCACTTCATGTGATGACGATGCAAAGTCGCTGTCAGGAGTTAGTATTTTGACATATATCCGGAGTGGAGCAAATATTAAGTTGAGCAAGTCTTGTTCCACTTAACATTTGCTCCACTTTATTTACTTAATATCTTACTTGTATATTTTGTCTTTGTTATTTATTGAAAAATAAAGTTTGGACTTAGAAACTTTTCTGTGTCTTTAATGTATTCCATCTCTATAGGGTAC